GTTTTCGTAGAGGTAGCAGTGTTTCTGAATATGGTGTCAATATATACTTTAGGCTCTTATTAAACATACAAAGGAAAATGGAGACTCATGACAATGATCAAAATAAATCATATGGAAAAACCTTACATTAGACCTAAAGTATTGCATATTTTAAGCAAGGAACTTATTTCACCTTTATCTAGAAACCGATTTAATTTTGAATTCTATTTCTCCACAGGCTCTATATTACTAAAATATGATGAAATTGTGAATGTTTAATTATAAATTATGTCTCAAATAAATGAAATGCAGTGTGAATTTTAGTCCCTGATATTAAGATAAGAAAACATTACCATTAAGGCTGAGTCTACATGTTACATGAAACAAAGAATTGAAGCATTATTTGAATCTTGAAAGCACCAAATACACTTCTGAAATATGCAAGGGGCCCCAAGTTATCTGGATAAAGCTCCTACATATTCACTTCATTTGCAGAGATACAGCCTGACTGCCTGCATCCAAATGGAATCAGTTTAGATTTCCAGTGGTTTGAGGTTTATTAAATACAGTGAACTTAGCAAACATGCATTCCCCTCAAGTTTTCAGGTTGGTATTTTCTGCAACCATCTTTGAAGAAGCAAAATCTCATAGGCATAGAGGCAAGAGATCGGGTTCCCAGCTGCTTCGCCATATATAAAAACGGATGGTTTTGGTGATGTGGGCCATAACATGAAAGTCATGTTTTTTCTACTATTTAGTCAAAGGAATGATGAGTACTGTGAGTCAACAACAAGCACGGCTACAAAAGAGAGCAGGATTAATGAAAAGAGGATACAGGACTTCTCTGATTGCTCCCACAATGATGCACCACCCTGGATAGCTCATTAGGGTACTCAGAAGAACACAAAGAGTCTTTTAAATAAAGCTTCCTTGTTCCAAGAGTGTATTCATCACCTCATGCCTATCCAGGATAGGAGGGCTTTCTCCTTGGAGTCTGAATGAAACAACCTGTAATCATTTGTATGGAGATGTTGCTAAACGTATTTGTAACCTCAAAGAAGTCTTCATTCACCGGAACAGGGACAACCTCAGAAGAAATGGATTTTTTCCCAAGGGTACCATTTCTATTTAGCGTGTTAGTACCTTTGTAACCTATTGGATGGAGGACACTGTGGGAATAGCCTGGAGAGACTTCCCCCTTTACAAAGAAAAAAGAAATCTAAAGGGATAGGAGCCTTGTGACAACAAAAAAGAAAAGAACAAAAGTGACTCATGTATGTCAAATGGAGCAGGCACCTAACTAAGCAATAATTACAACTTTGCCCACAATTCTCTCAGATGAGGCAGTCACAGGCTGGATTTTGGCATAGGGTGTTAATGTGTGAAAGTAGAAGTCGTCTCAAATAGAAGAAAAGCCTAGGAACATAAGGCAGAGCATCGTGACTGCATTATGGCAAAGGCAACAGGGCCTCTTTAGTTAGATGAACTATACTCAGTTGTGTCTTGGCTGTGCTGCTTTCTTCTTTTAAGTTTGAAGTTAAAATGCTACAGGATTAGTCTTACCTGCCACAGAGAACAATGTGTCTAAAATGACGCAAGCCAGGAGAGCTTTCCTGAATGAATGATGCTATGCTCAATTTACAATAGCTAGAAAATAACAGTAATTATTATAGATTGAGGGGAAAACATTGTGTAGAATGGTGTTGCAAAGTTGTAAACTTCATGAGGCTAGCAAAAATTCCTGCAAAGGTTTTCAAGTTAAAGTGAAAATAAAAGACTTAAATCATTAGAGTGGTCTTGCGCTCTGGATCTCACGTGTTTTCACATGTGAGAAATCTCAAATGATAAAGTATGTACTTTTGCAAAAGCATCCTGTAGATTTGATTGGAAACTATGTTTAGCAATGTTTTTGGGGGCTAGCTGCCCCAATGTACAGTGACAGACTAATCAATTCTTGTTTCTTCATTGTTGAAACTCAGCTAATGAATAGTGAACCAGAGCAAACAGTGAGTGAGAACGCTTGATGAGGACACAGAATGTAGATACATACACTTTATAAATCATCTTTAGATTGAAGACATTTTACAAATATAGTTGTTAAAAATAATTATTTAGGACAACATTTTTCAATTGTTCTCATTTTTCGATGAAGTTCAAAGTATGTCTAAAGGAAGAAAGGGTGGAGCCTTATCTACAAAGAGGGTCTCTCTGACCCTGGACTCTGCTGCTGCTGTTGCTGCTGCTGCTGCTGCAGGAATTCCACCTTGCCAGGCACCTATCATGTCCTTTGCCTTCAGGAAAGAGAGATTTGCAGCTGAACAAGTGCTTTACATTAGCAAATGGACAAGCTGCAGACTAATCAATGACACTTATTTATCAGTATATACCAACCTATACCAGCTTATGCCACACTTGGCACACATACTCTTAAGGCAATGTGAAACACGACAGAATAGAATATTTAGTTGTTATTTTGCAATTAGCATTTTACCATAATGCAGACTCTAGATGTAACTCTTTCTAAATTTAAACTTTAGTAGAATTTTCCATTTTCATATTAAGAAAATCATAATTAATCTTTAAAATGTGTTGCTGCCTAAACATTGGAAAGACTGGAGGATTAAATTCAGTGCTGAAAAATTAAGCATAATGTGTTTGTACATATATAGTTATAGTTACAATTATATAGACACATATACATGTCTATGTACATATAGATATGTAGAAAAAGATATGAAGATAGATATATAGATAGGTAAATATATACACATATAGGTGTATATGCATATATATGCATGCATATATGTCTGTAACTATCTACTTATCTATATACATATAGCTACACATCTTGTGTACATACATATATACCCCTTTAATGTTTATCTCATAACTTGAGTGCTTTTATTATATTTTATGCTTATTATTCAGTTAATTCTAGACTGCATTTTTTGCTATATAGAAATTTTAAATAACTAGAGATTCTGTTTCAATGACATATTTTAAAGTCTTCAAAAAGGAAAAGAATCAGTGTGTATGTAAAAAGGAAGAATATTGGCAACAATTGATTATTTTTATTAAGAAAATAAATCCCTACTGAGTTCCTAAAACTTGTATTAGTTGCTACTTGGTGTGCATGTTTGTGTGAGTGTTGGTAAGAAATCCTATTCTGACTAATGCCTGAACAATGGAAATATATTAGGTTTTAGATGTGCAAATGTTTATTATAACACTGGTATTGGAATAACAATAATACTAGCAACTGTAAATGTGAACTTCCTGCTATTCAAGGAGGCTTGTAACTTTAAAGGCTCATAATTTTAAGGAACCATGTGACTTTGAAAGCACAAATAAATTTCCCTTAGACTTTTCTTCTAGCTCAGTGGCAAAAAAAAAAAAAAAAAAAAAAAAAAAGGAGACATATTTTTTCATTATTATTTTAAAGAAATTCTATAGCTAGACTCAGAAAAACTGCCACATTACATTATGGATATCTGAGACAGGAATACTTCCACCGAGAGGAGATACCTTTCTTAGTGATGTAAGAATTTGCACCAGAGGAAATACTAAGAGAAAATGAGGAAGACTAATGGAGAAAAACATGGAAGCTACATATGTGAGTGATTTGTTTAAAGCAGAAGGGAGAAAGGAGTCCACACTCTCACGCAAACACACAGCCCCAAGTTCTTCACACATAACTTTCTAAAGTATATGTCATGAGAGAGGAATACAACAGGATCACAGCAGGGAAAACGCTGCAAACCCAGAGCTCCATTCTTGCGGGGATAAGAAGAAATCCTGATGCCTTACCAAACTGGCAAAGCACTGGAAACAGCTGAATGTTGTTAATAGAGATAATTGTCTCAAGTTGTGTTTTTATTAAAATCAATTCTAAGATTGGTAAAAGATATTTTAAATGCCTAAAATCCTAAAATTCTCTTTTGATGTGGGTTGATTTTCCTAACCATAAAGTATTTAAAACTGAATTTAAACCCACTGATTAGAACAGTGGAAATGTCTTTCTGAGGCTGGAAGCACATATACTTTGTAAGTGACTTCTTATTAATAACACATTCAAATATAAGAAGCTTTATAACATGCAAGGTCTTCCAACTAAAAGAGCTTTCCTGTAGGTGTCTAATTTAGAGACAGCATTGTTAACAATGTTGACATTTAAGTGGCCATAGCTAAAGCTTTGCAAAGAACATTCCATTACAATAAATGCAAAAATCTACAACTTTTCTTGGTGTTCAATTTAACAGGATATAAGTATGATGGTTGACAGTGTGAAGGCTGAAACAACCTTCATAACTAGAAAGTTTACCTGGTAATTTGAAACAAAGAGCCTCTTAGAGAAAGCCTTCAATAGAACAGGGATACAATAGAAATGGGAGATTTACAGCATACTCAGTCTACTTTCCTGAGTTCTGTATCTGAGACCAGGGTTAGCAATATAAGCCCACAATTTCTCCTTCACAGAACTAGTCAACTCTCAAGACTCCAGCCCTAGTCTGCTACAAAACTGACCTAATCGGATTAACCCAACATTTCTATACCTGTGTTGACCTTACCAACCACAGTGCCCTTACCTTTCCCTCTGGAAAAAAAAAAAAAAAAAAAAAAAAAAATCTTTTTTTTTATTTTTTTTTTTTCCTTCCCTGTTTTCCGTTTGGATCAGCTGGCAAGTAGAATTCGTTTTTATTTTTTTTAATAACTCATTTCCTAACCTTTCATCTATTGCTGTCATTATATTCATTCTAGGACCTTAACAAGTCATATTCAAACTACAGATATTCTAGAAGTTTTCCTGTCTCTCCACTCCATTCAACTCTGAACTCCACTGACAAGTTAATCTCCCAGAACTTCCCTTTTAAGTTGATAATTCTTTTGCTAAAAGCACTCAATGTCTGTCCACTCTCTCCTTAGTCTGGAAAACAATGACTACCACAAGCAACATGTTTCCTATTTCTTCTCATCACCAGTGACTGACTATACCTCACAATGTCCATTTTTCTCTGAAAATGCCTGGCCATTCCCAGCTCTCCTTTACACAGGCCACTGCCCTCTTATTTCCCATCCTCTTTGCCTTTAACATCTCACTTGAGTGTCAATTTCTCCATGGATATTTTATTGACAATGTCAGTCTTGACTGTCTTCAATGCTACTTCATACCTAAGCTTCCTCAGGGCAGGGACCTTGTAATTGAGATTACCTTGGAGGTGGCTTCATCCAAAGGATTAATCAATATTTCTAATTTGTTCATTTTAATTACAGGAAAACATTCTACACAATGAGATTGTAAAAGGCAATGTAAAAAGGAACTTTACTAATCAAATCACATATTTAACATAAAGTAGATCTTACTGATTAAAAGAAGTTTGTGACAAAACCCTTTTAAAATGTAAAAAACTGTTATTAATAATCATTAGCAGGTATGTTTGGTTTCCTAGAAATCTAAATATTCACAAATTAGTTTTTTTAAATACAGGGTCATGATTGATAATAATCAATATTGATAATATTCAAATGTAATGATTTGATTAAGTTTGAGAGTGCAGCAAATACTTTATACTGTTTAGAGAATAAATGTTTACTGATCAGAAATAAATCTAATATTTCTAGAACTTTTCATGATGACAAAAATTAACGTTTGTACAATACTTATCAGATTTAAAAAAATTGTTTCCAGATGCATTCTCTAAATTGGCCTTCATAACATTTTAAGATATGTAATTAATACAATTCCCATTTTCAAGATTAAAAAGTAAAATCAAAGAACTTCATGCATTCATTAATACATTTGATTCTCAACACTGAAGGGTAGTTCTTTCTTTTTTATTTTAGAGAAGAAACAATTGAAGTTGTCAGAGTTTGAATAACGTGTCCATAGTCTCTAAATTGAGGGTTTTTAAAAATGCTTCTTCCAACATGTATCATGATACATACAAAGAGCACACACCATGACTGGGAATGAAAATATTTTTTATTGAGTGTCTACTTTACGTGTCAAGCTTTGTCAGTTATCCTAATGATAATCCTTTAAAATCGTTTGATTTAGAATGAGACTCTTTAATTACACTTAATATATGGCAGGCATTGCGTTAGCAGATGGGAATAAAAGTTTGAAATGCTCTACAGATGACAAAACAGAGGACAATTAAATAAATTGTACAATCATACTACAATAAGCAGGAGACAGGATTTGAAACCAAGTCTTTAAGTATACAAAGAAATAATTAGTACAAAAACCTCATTATAACTTTAATCACAGCCAAAAGAAAACATAAAATTCACATACCTTCCATAACTCCACTAAAAATTTTTGTGTAGGATTACAACTCTCACAAGTATACTTTCTATAATTTTTTTGGGCATGAGACTGCTGTAAATTATGGACCCTTGAAGTTTGATTCCCCACCTAAATACCATGTTGGGAAAGTGATAATTGGATTCTCTTTCCACCCTTGACTACACAAGACCAGCTACATATTCTGATGTTAAAAATTATTCTTTGTGGGCTAAACTTTTTCACATATAACTTCAGTTAGCTTATCATCCAAAGTTACAGTGGTTAATTATACTAGATTTTGTATTACTACATTAGATATCAAAACAAACATCATTGGGCATGTATACTATATGTATAAGTTACAAGCCTCCTTCAATAGCAGGAAGTTCACATTTACAGTCGCTAGTATTATTGTTATTCCAATACCAGTGTTATAATAAACATTTGCACATCTAAAACCTAATATATTTCCATTGTTCAGGCATTAGTCAGAATAGGATTTCTTACCAACACTCACACAAACATGCACACCAAGTAGCAACTAATCCAAGTATATAAAATCTTTGAGTTACAGGACACAACCTATAAAGGAGAAAACACTTCTTTATTAACTATGCCAAATTTCTTGTCATGCAGTTTAAATATGAGAAGGTCAGATTATGTGGGGTGCCTCTGTCTCCAGTAAAATATATTTTATTGTAGCAATTCCGATGACTGGATCACATTGTACACACAGCTCGTAAGTAACCAAAAAATATTTGTGTTTATGTGAAAAGAAGTAATGCATACAAAACAGAAAAAAAAATTCGGCTTATAAGCCAGATTTTCTCAAAAACTTGATGCATCATCTTAAGCAAGAAAAATCTCTAAGCCTTTTTTATATGATAAAAATGGTGTTAAACTCTACCCATATATAAATGCATGGTGTCCACCTTAAAAAGAAACGTTAATACTAAGAAATGCACAATTCCTCTTTAGAAAGAGCACCATGTAACAATTTGGCTTACTTAGCCTTCTAGACAAGTCAGACACAGTTGAGTAGCTGAAGGAGCAGAGTAGAGACTGAGGCAGGAAATGTTCTTTCTAAATTTTCCCATATCTTATTAAAGGGCCATGGGCAAATTAGGTTTTTCTCTGTTCAGGTTTGCCTTTCTGTGACATCAGGGAGCTATCTCAAAATTCTTTATCTAATTCTCAGAAACCTAGGAAAATGAAGTCCCTTGAAAAACTCCAAATAAGTCTAATCAGTAATTTTATTGTATGCCTTCCCCTCCCTGCCCTACTTTCCCACTTCCCTAAGGCATTTTCTGGGATCACCTACCAAATCAACTGCTTAAACATGAATCTCTGTTTCAGGGTCTATTTCTAAGGGAACCCAAATTATCCAGTGCCAGTTATACAAGAACTGATGATGGGCTACGTTATGGGTTGATTTATGTCCCCCTCTCTGGCCCCAAAATATATTGAAGTCCTAACCCTATCATCATCCCCAATACCTCAAAGTGTGACCTTATTTGGAAACAGAGGTGTTGCAGATGTCATTACTTAAGGTAAAGTCATTGGAGTGGGCATTAATACAATATGACTGGTGTCCTTATAAGAATACAGAGAAGGGACATGGAGTGAGAGACACAGAAAGAAGGCCATGCGTTGACAGAGGCAGAGCTTGGCATGTTGTACCTGCAAGCCGAGGAACGCCAAGGAATGGAAAACCACCGCCAGAAGCTAGGAAAAGACCAGGAAGGAGTTTATCTGGATGCTCAGAAGGATCACAGCCCTGCTGACACCTTGATTTCAGACTTGGAGGCACCAGAGCTATGAGAGAATAAATTGTGGTTGTTTTGCTTTTGTTTTGAGACAGGGTCTCACTCTAGTTGCCCAGGCTGGAGTGCAGTGGCACAATCTCGGTTCACTGCAGCTTCAATCTCCCAGGCTCAGGTGATTCTCCTGCCTCAACCTCCCAAGTAGTTGTAGGCATTTGCCATCATGCCCAGCTAATTTTTGTATTTTTTGGTAGAGATAGGGTTTCCCTATGTTGCCCAGGCTGGTCTTGATCTCCTGAGTTCAACCGATCAGTCCACCTCGGCCTCCAAAGTGCTTGGATTACAGGTGTGAGAGTGGTGCCCTGCAAAATTTATGTGTTAAGCAATCTACTTTGTGGTACTTTGTTACAGCAGCCCTAGGAAACTAACATAGGTTGCAGTACCTATTTCAGGTGTTTTTCAAAGGCTGTATCATATCAACTACTTATTTTCTCAATCAAAGGCTCCTTCCTCTTATCTCCAGGGAACCCCAGATTCCTTTGACTTTAATGTTTACTTCAATTTCTTCTTTTGTTTGGTGACATATTCATCACTATTCTCTGATTTGCTAACCTTGATTTCCCATTTAATTTTTACCTCTGCACTATACTTTGAATCAAGACAGCAGTTATCAAACAATAGTATGTATCAGAATTGCCTGGAAGTCTAGTAGAAATAGATGGTTGGATCTCCACCCCCAGAGTTTCTGATTCAGTAGGTCTATGTACATCCAAGAATTTGCATTTCTATCAAGTTCAGATTCCCAGATGCTGCTGATGCTGGTGGTCTGGGACCATACTTCAGGAATCAGATTTAGGGAGTTGTCAGAACTTCCTGCTCTAAATCACCATCTCTGACTTAGCCCAACTCCTTAACACAGTGATATCTTCTTCCCCTCCCATTTTCCAAAATCAGCGGAGGATGAGTTCCAACAATAATACTGAATTCATATTCTTTAAAAATTAGCATCACATAAGATCTCATGGCTTTATGGTGTCAGAGGTTACCAGGAGCTCTGGATACATCCCATAGCCCTAATAAACATCTTAAACACTGCTACCCGATTCATATTTCCTTTTTGTGTGTATAAACTCATGGGGTACAAGTGCAATTTTGTTACATGCATAGATTGCATAGTGGTGAAGTCAGGGTTTTTTGGGTACCCATCACCCAATTGATGTTCATTATACGCATTAAGTAATTTCTCATCACCCACCCTCCTCCACCCCCTCCCTGATGCAAGTCTCCACTGTCTATCATTCCACACTCTATGCCCATGTGTACACATTATTTAGCTCCTTTTCATATGTGAGAATATGCGGTATATGTCTTTCTATGCCAGTATTTCTCGAACTCCTTGCCTCAAGCGATCCTCCTGCCTCTACCTCCCAAATGGCATGAACCACAATGAACCACAATGCCTGGCCCAGACTCATATTTCTAAAGCAAAAACATGATTAGGAAATTTATCTGCCTAATTATTTTTTTAAGGTCAAAATTCAAACTCCTTGGCATGATCTTTGCAATGTGTGGTAATCCCACTGGCCTAATCCTCCAACCTTGTCTCCCATTTCTGGCCTATGGTGGAAAGAGTATACACAGAGAAACAATATTTATTGAGCACGTACTAGAGGCTGGTATTGTGTCAGTTATATTATTTCTGTTATCTCATTTTGTCATCACACAAATCTACAAGTAAGAAATATTGATTTTAAGCAACTCATTTTGATTTAAAGGAGGACATTGAGACATAATCAGCTACAAAGATGACTGAACACAGACACTGCCTCTGATCATCCACACCTGGATTCAAACTCAAGTCTAAGTAATTCCAACACCCTTTCCATCCTGTAATCTCCTTACTTGGAATGACCAAATATCCTGGTTTACCTGGGACAGTTCCTTCTTATTCTTATTGTCCCAAAATAGTCAGGAAAAGCACCCCTTTCACTCTCAAAAGTATCATTCTGATTTTATTGGTGAATTGCATGGTCACTCTGCCTATACTGCAAATCGACCATGCTGTCACATGTTTCAGGAATGCAATATACTTGTTCATGATTCCATTTCTTTCCCAGTGCTGTTTCTTCTGTCTAGAGTGTTATTCCTTTCCCTTTGTCTCCCGAGAAAAATATGTCCCGTTATCAGGACTCATCTTCTTCATTGTCTCTGGGAATTCTCCCCATTCCTCTAACTTCACACAGGAGGTCAATACCCTTCTCTGTGCTCCCCATACCCCCATGTTACTGCTCTTCTTTTACATATTTTTGAATACTTGACTGTCCTCTCTATCAGCCTGTGAATTCCTTAAGGTTTGGACTGTACCTTAATTATCTGTATATCCACAGTGCCAATAGTTTTGCATGGCTCAGAGAAAATCTTAAATATGTGTTGAATAATGGGATAAATGAAATAATAAATTTGAAAGATCTAGCCATTTACAACAATTACTATAAAAAGTGGAAGCAGTCTCTTCTAAAAGGAGTGAGCCTATTCTAGCTAGATCTGATTTACTGTACCGGGAGGCTGCTTAAGTTCTGAACAGTTATTCAGAGAGCCTCGGACCCTGTATCAGCACAAATACCCAGGCCATCCTGTTTTATGGAGTGGTTCTCCTATTTGGGGTCTGAGATATTGTTACCAGTTTTCTGGACTGCTCTCTACTTCTGTAATGTGCCTCATGCTCATTTAAATATTTTCCCATATTTGCTTAGGCCTGTGGTTAAGAGTCAAACTGCCTGGGTTTGAATTTGTGCTTCACTATTTCTTAGATGGGTGACTATGTGAAAACCTCTTAAGTTTCCTAAGCCACAGTTTCTCCATTAAAAAATTAGTAAAATTGACTGTGTCTCATTTAATTAAGTTTTCAAAGGTACTTAACATAGTAGCAGGAACTTAGTAACAACCCATAAATATTAGTTATGATTTTTATTAATAGTATTATTATTCCTTCATTATGCCTAAGCTTTCCTACCAGACTGAAAACCTTGTTTCCTCCAATGATCTATTTTTGTCCATCAGGCCTCATTAATTTTGGATATCTCAATATATGTTGTATTCCCTGAATAAGTCCAACAGACTGTGAATGACTCTAGATATTCCACCACTTCTCTGGGCTCCTACCGTCTCCTTGGCTAGCACTAATGCTATTTCATAGAAGCTTTTTAAGTCAACCTCTGTTTAGCTGACTCATCAGATTAACTGACTGTCTTTGTATGGTTGCTCTAGAAGACAGAGCCTGAGGCAGGGATTAAAGTGATGACACTAGGGACATATAAGCCCAGGGTAATATAGATAAAGAGAAAGAGAGAAGTGAGGCAATAAAAGACATGGAGTAATGCAAATCATTATCATGATGGTCGCCACTTCACACGGAGTTCAAAAGAGATGACAACAGTACACCAGGCAGACTTTACTCAGCACAAAGGGACGTCTTCCTAAAAAGGTTATAAGGAGAAGCTTACCTTGTTGCTGTCCCTGGAATGAAGAAACGAGAGATTCACCTGCAAGATGCCTCCCATCTCTCATTTCCTATTGGTCATGATTCATCATACAAGGAGACATCTTCCAGCACTGTCAATGGACTGATAAGCCCCCTGGTAACCACTCAGGAGGCCAAATCCCATGCTTGCAACATGGCATTTTATTCAAATCTAAAGTGGAAGGGTGACTTGGTACAAGTAAATACCACCTGAGAAACAGAAGAAGAAATGTCAACTAGGGGATCTGAGAAGATACACATGATTTGTGTCCAATATACTGATTCTCTAGGCCTTTTGTAAAAGTCTCAAAACTCATGACAAGTAGGCTATTCTCTAGAATTCTCTAGTCTTGTGTTTTAACTTGATGAATTACATGCTTGTAAGAATCACTTATGTTTATTTTTAAATTGTTCCTGCCATTTGTGCTTGTTATTTGAATTATACAATTATTTAATTAAATACCACACACTAGTAAAATATGAGTGTGAAAAGAATGAAAGGTGTTTGTATGGAAATGAAAGAGTATTTTCGAAAGTCTCAATAAAAGTAAGTCTCTTGAAAAAGGTTTGCTAAGAGAGATGAAAGTGAAATATTTGCAAAGGGCAATGTTAAGAAGCCAGAAGAGTCTGCACTAATATTGTTTCACCCATGCCTTTGCATTCTTTCTGCATGGAAAAATCCTGCATAAAGCATTATCTATTTGGTATTGCACAAAAGACAATATGGAAATACAGTCAGCATACTCATCATTGAAGAAAAGTCCTGGCTAACAACAACAAAAAATTGGTCATTTTGTATACATTTTTTATTAAAAATTAAAAAGAACTTTTAATTAAAATTAAAATTAAAAAGAACATTTAATTATTGTTTAAGATTCCTTGCTTTAACCAGCTCTTTTGATTTACCAGCTGTAAAAGCATGGCTTGATTATGCTGTGGTAGCAAACAACCCCCAAATCTCAGTGAATGATATGACAAATCTTTATTGCTTGCTCACTTTAAATCTGGAGGCTCTGAAACCTATCCTCCATGTGTAGCATCTGAAGCACTTACTATATGAAGCATGTGCCATCCTAGGTCAATATGGAAAGGAAAGAGAAAACATGAAGAATCCCATGTAGGCACGTTAATGCCCCCTAAGATTGATGTACTTCACTTCTGCACATTACCCAAAGCAAGCCACATGACTACCCCTAAATTCAAGGAGGTGGAGAAGCATAATCCTCCCAGGTGCCAGAAAAGGAGAAGAGCTGGAAAAACTAGGGAGCAGCAGTGGTGTTCACCACACCAACCTACTGTGCCAGGCATATGGAGTACGAGGGCTTCTACTCAATCAAGTGAAGGAGGCTGAGGCAGAGAAATATACTGTTTTTTTTCTTTAAATAATTAAAAATAAATATTTAAAATTGGTAACTTAGTGGCTATATTTTCAAGGCTATTTTTTATTTCCGGGAGCTTGTAACCAATTAATTTAGTACTACATATACCCTATCTCAGGTCCAGCTTCTTTGACCTGAGTCTACTTACAATAAACAACAGCTTCAGTCCAACAACTAGGTCATGGAGAAAGCCGGGGAGTAAGAAGGAGGTGTCCCTCTGTTGCTGTTGTATTTTCAAAAGAACACTTTGGTTAATTGATAGATGGCTTCTTTATTAGAAGCAGTAATACCTCTAAGTTATTACTTTGTCTTCAGAAAGAGTAACAAATTGTGCCTATATTTAATTTTTTTTTAATTTCCATGAAAAATTGGTGTAATTTTCAATCTACTTACGCTATGTTGTGAGTCATTAGTGGTAAATTAAATAAACCAACTTATATTATAACCAAGTTATACTATAATATAAAAATGTCAAACTGGGAGGTGTAGAGATCAAGTCTATTTACGGTGCTAAAGAAAATCCAACTGCTTTTTCCTTTTCCATTAGTCTAAGCAGCAGCCAAGTGTGATGGAGTTTGGAGGGATAGGAAGAGAGACTGTGTGGGTCAAAATAGCTTCTTGGGTGATTCTGATTGGCCCCTGTCTAGCTAAGGGCCTGGCAGTAGGTGGAAAAGTCACAGCACTTGGGAGAACATTGGCTTGACTACTTACTAACTATTTCTTAACCTGGAGCAAATTGCCTTCAGTCTTAGCCTCAGTTTCTTCATCCAATAAGCCTTTTATCTCATAGTGTTATTTTAAAGATTAAATAAGATAATAACTATAAAGAGCCTTAATGCTGTGCTTAAAAACTAGTTTGAAATATTTTAATGAATTCAGGGCAACAAGGGCTTAGTTACCACCAAAATCTTCAAAAAATAATCCACAATTAAATCCAACATTTAAAATAACAAGAACAAAACACTTACTGTGTGTTTAGAATTTAGACTCATGTGTCTACTACTTAATTTCTACTGCCTGAAATTTTTTTTATCCTTTGTGCGTATTGTGCTCAAAATTATAGAAAAGTAGTTTACAAACTGTGCATCACTACCCATTCGTGGGGAATGAAGGAAATGTGTAGGTTGTAACCAGCATTTTTAAATGAAATAAATAGAATAGAAAGAATCAGAACACATCGCATGGTTTCTTACTAAGAATTGTGTGCATTGTAATAAATGGGTCATGATTTAAATGTATTTCCTATTGTACTTAAAATTTAATAATAATAATAATAATAAAAGCTTGTGGAAGATACTCCTCTAGAACAAGTCCAAATGAAATCTGGTACATATTTCTATCAAATAAATCTGATTTTATTTCACTACCTTTTTAATGTAGAATAATGAAATATAAAATGTTTTAGCCATCTACCCAGCCAAGTTTTTCTTTAGTAATTCCTGTATTATTATGTATCCTTTAGAGTGACTTTTACACAGCTAGTATGTCAAGAAAAGCAAATGTACATGATATTGGACAAGAAGTGATTACACAGTACGCCCAAGTTACCATTGCTTAGAGGAGATTTAAAGGTGTTGCATAGGCACTGCCAAGGCACCAAGGAGACGGTGGATCCAATTAGATTTACACTCTTCACAGGAGAGACTTGTCCCACTTAGGTGGCTTTAAAATGTCGTTCTATGTCATGTAAAGGACAGAATGCAACACCAGAGGAGAGAAAACAGCTTGTCATAGAGACCAGAGGCACAGAGACCCTCTGAGCAGCAAAGTGAGTCTTGAAGCAGTAAAGCCTCCCTGGTTGTGGCTGACCATCTGGGACGAGGTCACCAACTCAGGATCCACAGATTGGACCAGCATAGAGACGTTTCTGTAAAAGACATGACAGCAGAGACTGATCACTGCGTGCATTGTATAAACTTTGTAGATCATTGTCCCTGATTGTTCAGAGTCAATCATCTTTAGTTTTCATTTCAGCCTTTGGTCATTCTCAAGAAATCAAGAAAATGTCATTTTTGTAATATTCTGAGTTCAAGAATCTCCCTACACATGGGGAGCCATGTCTTCCAGAGTATGGGAAAAGTATGGGGGATTTAATTTACCAATTAAATCAGAATTTTGCTGCCCTGTGTGGACTAAACCAGGTAAGCAGCCTCTTCTCCAATCTTGCTTCAGTGAGGCTTATGTCTGCATGGGTGTGCTACTCACTGAACACAAATATAAAGGTACCCACCAGACAAGGAGTTTTTCTGGTTCATCATTACACTGCAGGTTGCCATGAAGGAGTCACAGGCTGTGGCTTCCGTGAAGCCCGTGACAAATTTAATACCCTATTACTTGTGTCATCTGCACTAGCACTTCATTTGGTGACATCACTGGGTACAACTAAAGTTGAAATTTGTGTGACATTTTTGCAGGTGTTGCTTTTCACCAAAAATGTTGTTTTACATAGTTTAGCCACAGTGCAGTGCTTTAAGTCTAAAACTAAACCTCAGGAAATCTAATGAGGTTGAAAAGAAAAGTGAAAGTTAACGGCTGCAGCTTTAACAAAGGCTCATCCTCCCTCAGGCTCTAAAGAGTCAGTAACTGAGTTCCGTAACTGAAAATTAAATTAGAAGAAATGCCACCTCTGCAGCTACAGCTACCTTTAGCATTAACAGTAGCATTAACAGAAATATAGAATGGGATGGGGGTAGGGGGTTCTGCTCAATAGAGCCATCAAGAAACTTTCAGAGCCTTTAAACGGGGCGGAATCTGCTCTTACACCATGTTTTAAGCTTCCCGTCGTTTTATATTTTGCCCTCTCTCTAGCCTTCATTTCCCTCATAGACATACCCTTGTCATATTTTTTCTGTTCTCTCCTTTCTGCTGTTTTTTCCCCCATTACAGGTCTTAATTTCCATTTTCTTCTCTTCCCCCACTGCCACATTTTTTTCCCTTGATTCTCTGAGTTTGTTTTCCCTTCCCTCCCATATTTACATCTTTACAGGAATAATTTAACTGATGACAAGGTTTTTGTGATTTGCCCTGTTCAGAATCTGGGAGAAAACAGTTAAGGATTCTCCAGGGCATAAGGCTTTTGACTTTATCTGGTCACATCAAATGAACAGGAACCACTTTCTCAGGATCGTATTATCACAGTAAGTGATAAGGATGTGCAGGAAGAACTTATGAGCAGTGGCTCACATTTAAAAAAAAAAAAAAAGGCTGGGGGAGGAGTGGCAAGAAAAGAAAACAAATTAGCCTTTGTCAGACTCCTCCCCATTCTTCAAATAAGCATCTCTAAAAAACAATCAAGCAAGGTTGTCAGTTTGGTCAAAAATCAGCAATGCTTTAATATAATAAAATAGTACTGCCACCGTTTACTTCTAAACAAATTGCAAAAGAACCTAACTATATTATATAGCTATAAAGAAATAAAGGCTATTTTATCATAATTTGATTATGCTACAAAGCACTATGCATAGCAATTCGTGGATCTAATTTTAGTAGTAATAATCTCTTGCCCTGTTATGTAAATGGAAAAAGACTTTCTACAGGCTTCAGATAGAGATAAGCTTAAGATCGAAAGCATGCAAAAGCCATGGTTCAATTACTCTAAAGTGATCTGCATCATATGTTACAGTACATCTTTCTGCCTTTGCACAAAAGCTCGTATCTGCTGCAAATTAGCCATCCTTTTCTAAATGCTACAGATGTCCTCTGAGAGTTAACTGATTCAAATTAAACCAAAATCCTGCAACTACAAAATAATAAGGGGCATTTAAAAATTTTTCAAAATGCTTTTCCCTTCCACAGTTTTCCCCAATTTTTGCACCCCCTCTCCTTTTTAAGAAAAGACAATTGAACCTTTACAAATACAATTAGTTTTCATTCCCAGGCCAATCCATTTTGTGTAAGGATAAACTACCAGGATGGTCCCATTCCATGTTAAGTCTCCACAGGCCACAAAGATGCAAGCTCAGACCAGACTTCTCAGGTACTAGCCTGGCCCCCAGCAGACAAAACTCTCACCCATATCTTGGAATACAAGTCTCTAGAAATAGAGCACTTCACCAATCCTTATTCCCCAGTCTCTTTGGTTGCTCATCGAAATGAAGTTTATATTAATCCAAAAGTTAGCTACCCCCCAGAGCACTGGGGCTTCAGAGATAGCTGGAGCCACCTATTGGAAGTACCAGGTTTCCATCTCAGCTGGCTCATTTCCTTGCATCTCTCTACAACTTAGCTTTAAGTTGTAGACAGTCCTACTGCAGACGGTCTTTTCCCATACTCTGGAAGACATGGCTGTAAACCCCCATCAACTCCTCTTCCATAGCTTCACCACACAGGAAGGCACGGCCCTCTGCCCTACACGAGTGTATAGGATATCCTGAAGGAGGACCCTCCTAGGCCCTCCTTAAGTCAGTTGTTCCCTCTATGTGGGCTCTCACCCCCACAACACCCACTACGTCTTGGGAAATTACCCTGAATCAGTGGTTTTCACTAAGACTGATTGGGATGGGAATGCAATTTCCTAGCAAAGAAGTGGGTTTTGTATCCAGAAGAAAAAAGGTTTAAAATAGTATATTTCCATTCTACATGAGCTGTGGCTTTCTCAGTTTGTGTGAAGACCAAAAGAGAGAGAGAGAGAAAAAAGAATAGTTAGATGTTGATGCTTGAGGTTAAGTGCATTGTTTTTAGCCCTTTACCCTATAATTTAATAATTACTGTTGTTGGAGGTGATGGATATTCTAGTTACCCTGATTTGATCATCACACATTGTACACATGTATCAAAATATCATATGTACTTCCAAAATATGTACAACTATGATATAGCAATAAAAATATTTTTAAAAGTTAAAAGTTAAAAATTATCACTATTTCCAAAATTTTCCCCTTATCCTAGGATTTTATACCTATTACTGTTCCCAAGAGGAAAAAATTAGATAGATAGATAGATAGATAGATAGATAGATAGATAGATGATAAACAGGAGATAGATGATAGATAGATAGATAGATAGATAGATAGATAGATAGATAGATAGATTGATAGATAGAGATTAAAGCCTTTTCAATGCTGACTTTCAGTGATCAAGATACTAAATACTTCTAGAGAGCAGCAAGGATGGGATATGATGTTTTCTGTTGATTAAATTAGAACTGTTATATCTGAGTAATACATGAGAGAATATAGAATGCTTATTGTACAGGTGTATTATTTTATTACTGGGTCTTTGCATCTGTTACATCTTTAAGATCTGTCCTCACCCAGCCTTCCTGAGCTACTCTACACCCAGCCCAGGAGGCATCATAATATAAAATGGTAAACCCATTGCTTAAATTATCTGGGTTTTTAAAAAAATTTCTATATAAATATTGGAATTAATCACAAACTTCAATTCTCTCCCCAAAATGGAGTTCTATATAATTTTCGAGAATATAAAGAGAAGTTGTTATTTCAATCCAAATTGTAATACATTTTTTTCTATACCCCCAAAAAGTTTTATTGTACTTTTCCTATATGCCCAAAAAAGTTTTATTATACTTTTAACTTGTATGTTTATTGTTATTAAACTTTGTTATACATAACACTAGAAACTTTAACATTAACATTATAAGCAATGTTGTTAGGTTGGGGAACTTGAGCTTTAATTCAAGTCTTATTAGATCGCTGACTGGCTACATGGCATTGGTTAGGTCACTTACTGTTTCTGGGCCCCAGTTTTGTCATCTAGGACATAATACAAAACATGCAGAAGTCCTTAGCAACTCTAACATGATGTACAAAAATATGCTAAAAATGAGGTATTGCATCAGTCAGGATTCAACCAGAGAAGCAGAACCAGTATGCATATTTTTATGTGTATTTTATATATATGTATTTTAAAATACATATAAATACCTTCTTTCCCCTGCCCCCCGATTCCATCCCATCCTGAGCTCTTCATCATTAGAAATGCATTCATCTATTATGAGCTGGTTATGGACAAAAAGCAACATCACATCATCATGATTTTGCTTTAGTTTTGGACAAAAGATGCCTTTATATATGTATTTTAAAAATACATATATAAAAATATAAAAAGCATATATACATATATACATATGTACACACTTATCCATGTGTATGTATGCACGTGTGTGTATGTATGTGTGTGAGTGTATTTACTTATTACAGAGAATTTCTGGCTGAGCAGTCATTTTAATTACATTTGGAAAACCCCTTCCCAGCAGCACCTACACCAGCATTTGAAGGAATATCTGGAGGATGGTGTGTGTACACTATTAAATGACAGCTGCCTCTCTTCTGTCTTTCAACTCTTGTGAGAGAATCTCCTTTAAAGTCCACCCTAACCAGAAACACACTTGAATGGGAATTCTGGGGAAAGTGATTTAACATAGCCAAGATGACACATCACAAAGCCATCTTGGGTATCAAAAAGAAAGATTCTATCCTAGAAGACAAAATGAATGACCTATTCTACTAATGACCAACATGGCCCAAGGAGTCATTCTCTGTTCTTGTTCATCTCTTTCCCTTCCCATGCACATTCTAGTTGACAGACAGCACACCTACACCATCTTTGTCCCAAATGAATGTGGTGCACATTGAGGGAGGCTTGCTTTTCCCCTCCTTGATCCTATCCCTTCCAGAGTTCTTCATCATTAGAAATGCATTTGTCTATTATGACCTAGTTATGAACAAAAAGCAACATCACATCGCCATTATTTTGCTTTAGTTTTGGATAAAAGATGCCTTTCTTTTTCCCTTAGAAGTCATCCTGGTCCCTCCTCCTACTTTCTTTACACTGCCATTCTCCCTTTAGGCTTTGGCTTTGAGGAAAAGGTTAACTGTGTATTTTTAAGTACATTCTCTCCTCCACTGTTTCTTTCTTCACTCTTCTGAATTATAGGGAGTGTACAGGTCAAAGCACACTAAGAATGGGGCTATTTGAAGAATTTTTTTAACGCATCCACTAAATAAATAGACCACTGGGTATTTCTTGGTAATTTTCTAGTGATTCTCAATAGTGGAAGAAGCTTTTGACACTACAGGTGCCCAGGGCCTGACTAAAATGAAGTTTAACTTATTGTCCATTATCTCTCTAGCACTGAGGGTCATTCTCACAAGCTATAGCTTCAAGCCTTTCCCAATGGCTCCTAATCCTGTATCTGAAGAGACAACAGAGGCCACATTCAGTGTCTCAGTATCAGGTCACCCTCCTGCCAGCCCTACTGTAATCTTGCTGCTACTTTCAAGGATCACAACAAGTTCTTTTTACTCCACAGTGACCGAACCTCTGCCACACAACTCTGTCCTAATACTCTGGGTCTCCATCCTACTGTACCAATTTTCTGCTTGATTCTCTGCTTCAACTCTGACACCTAGAACTTTGACTTGCCCCTCCTGCCAAGGCTGCCGAGGCTTGTCAACTGCCCCTGAATGTCAGTTGCTGTGACTGGGTATTCACTACTAACAGCGGGATCCTCCAGAAGATTTCATGGAGGTTCCATCTGCCTAAATCACTCATTAGTCATTATTAGGCAAAAACCAGCTCACGTCCTCTCCAACCCTCAGTCAAAACCTAGCTCTTTTCCACACACCTGCTAATGCATACACGTTTTGCCTGCTTGTGGGTCAGTCTCACTCTGATTGTCCAACTGTCCAAAATGCCTCTGAATATCTACTGCCAGCACTTCCCTCGTGAGCTTACCTTAGGCTCTGTTTGGGTTCTCAGTTCCAGGTCTTATCAGGCAGATCCATTTTAATGCCAATCAAACAGCTGTGTTTGATAATCATGAACATGTGACTTTTTTCCTAGAGATGCAAAAATCATAAGTCGCTAAAGTATATGAAGAATAAATTTCACCAAATCTTAATGTCTCTATGTTGACAAAATAATTGAATACAGAGCTCCTAAAGACCTTAGTGAAACAACCATGGGTGTTGATTAGAACAGTTTATGCTAACTGTTATAAACTAACAGTATGTAGTTAGTATAGAAAAGTCTTGATTGCTTGCTTGCTTTTTCTTTCTTTTTTGCTCTTCTTTCTATTCTTTCTTATTCTTAAGCACCTGGTTTTGAACCAGAAATTGTGGTAAACATAGGGAGTATGAGATGAGTTTATGTATCTATAATATACATGCACAAACACATGTTACTGGCCCTTTGAGTTCTCACATCCTAAATAATGAAACAAAGAAAAAAATAATAATAATTACCGCTCATGATGAGAGCTCACAGAAACAAAAGTGCATGATTTTGTCTAGAAATGTGGGCAGGAAGCATTTTAAAGAAATGAAGTTCAGTTGACTTTTGAGGAATGATTGGAATGAATCAGCAGGCAGATAAGTGGAGAAAAGGACTTTCCAGGTAAATGGAATAGAAGAGAAGAGACATAAAGAAGAATGTGGTACCTTTGAGGAACTGCAGGGATTTCTCTATTGCTGGCATCTAGGACTGGTCCAGGAACAGGTGGAAGCAATGAGTCTGAAAAGGTAGACAGGTCTTAATACAAAACGTTCTTTATAAGTCATGTTAAGAAATAAGGACTTTGTCTTGCAAGTGATAGGGAAGTTTGGGGAAGATGCTGAGCAGTGGGGTGACATAAATTTGTTTTAGACCAAAGGGAGGTATACAGAAGAGGAGAAGGCAAAGAGTTAGATAATTCCAGGGAAAGTTCAAACAAAAAGCTTTTGAAAACCTAAGAAAAGGTAGTTGCAAAGAAAACAGAAAGGAGAGGAGGTTAGAGATAAAATATTTGGTGTCTAGAGAATACAATAGTAGCTACAGGTTTAGATGAGTAGAAGAAGAATGTATAAAGTAAGATGAGAAAATTAAAGAAGACACATTTCTAAATGGGTACAGAATCCTTCACTTATTTCGGCTGAGGTCTCAATTTCCCCTAAGAAAGTATGTGATGTTGGCTGTCTGTATTTTTCTTGGTGATATTCTTTTCTTATTTGATATGACCATCTTTACTGGAATATAAAGTCATTAAAAGAAGAACTTCATTTTGTTCATCTTTCTAGCCCCAAACATCTTGGAATGAAGTAAGGGTTCAGTGTTGAATAAGATATGATGAAAATCAAAATGGGTCAAGTCAGTGTATCACATCCAGGTTGTGGGTTGGAGTCTTCAATTCTTGCTAGGTTGAGGATATTCCAGGCCTGTGCATCACTTATTTTTCTGCTTAATCTGCTTTAGCATTTCTTATAACAAAATATCAGGTAATGATAGAGTTTTGTGTCAAATTTCTGCTTGATGTCCAATGACTGCCTTTATTTTTGTGCTGGCTGTTTAGAAACTCTTTTTTCGCTTTACATGTGTCTTTCAGTTCAGAGTCATCAGCATACAGCAGTCCCAAATGACTCTCTCAACGACTTTTAAGGATCCTCACAGCCAGAAGAACCTCTCAGAGGATCAGAAGCACAGTCTAATACCAGCTTACAGATTCCTTATTACATCCTTATGCATGAATAAAACAAGCTAGACCTATTATGCAGCTATTTTCTCTTCATTGGTGACTGGGAACTGATCTAAAAAAAATTACGCAAAACCCAGCACCCCATCTTATATAACATTCTCTCCGCAGCTGAATTAGTCAAGTTATAGCAACTGTGCCATCCTCTTGTCCAAAACACCCTGCAATTCTAGGACTACACAGTGGGCAAAATTAGAATGTAGTCAATCCACAACATCCCTGACAAGTACCGTGCCAGAGCAATTCAATGTCTAGACTAGTTGTTTCAGTCAGGAGATTAACTGGCTTATCTTAACCCCAAGGGCAACCTTTGGCTCACATCCAGGAAGTCAGCAGTTTTCAGGTTAGCCCCTGACAGATCAAGCCATCAGTCGTTTGCCTAATCCCAGCATCATACACAGAATTACAGAACAGGACTTTTTTCCACACAATTTGGGGTGTTAGCTGTTTTCTCCTTAAGGTTTAACATATGATCTTAAAAAGCATTTTTTTCAACAAAATATTGGTTTAAATTTTCAGAAAAACTGCATGCTGTTTGGAAACATCACAATTCTTTAGTGAGAAAGAAAATTTTTAAATATATCTATATTTATAAAATGTCTTCTTAGAAACATTGCTTTAAAAAAATTAACTAATTCTAGAAAACCAAGCTATGTTCCTGTTTCCTCATGATTCACAGCAATGTTCTTCAAGGTCCTTTTTCTTTCTTAAATGGGCCAAAATGATATCAACGCCCCACACAAAATTTCACCTTCGAACTGACTTGATTCATGACTCTTGTTAATTCTATTTGCTCAGAAATTCTACTTTAATTATTTTGAAGAGTTTTTGTGGAGCCACTGGAGTTTTTACTTTGCCACTGTATGATGGTTATAGGCAAGGAAATTTTAATATATATTCTCAAAGAGAAATTTACTTGTAACATTATACTATAATAATCACAGTTTTCAAATGCATATTTTTAAAAAAATCTATCACAGAAGCTGGAATGACTGAGTTGCACTTTTTTAAAAAAATTTTCTGACAATATTTCAAGGACTGAAATTGGTGTTGGGCTGAATTTTGTGCCATGATAGATAGTGTACAAAGCACATTAATTGGCAACAGCACGTTCTCTATAAGACAGGTAGTACTCATTCAGAATGTCAGTAAATATCTCCTGAATGCCTATGTGCCAGGCACTATCCTAGGCTCTAGACAACAAGACAAATGATCAAGAATTCACAAATACATCATTTAAATAACAACTGTGTATCTAATATACATTATGACTGCTCTGTGTTATAAATAAAATACATGTATTACATATGGATATTTTACATGTAATACCCACTGTTGCACATACACAGGAAAAGCTTTAGCTGGCATTTGAAAGAGGATGCTTAATGAAAACATCTCCTTAACTAAGATTATATTTAGCACTGAATTGCCAGAACAGTGTTTGTCAAGTCCATTTTCCTTTGTATAAATGGACTACAATGTGTAGCTTCAGTCTCTTAAACTTCTGGAAAGCATATCCAAAACATTTAAAAATCTTGTGAAACTAATGTTTGCATCGATGTCAAAGTTTGTGTTTGAACTTTAAGAATACACTAGAAAATAACTTCTAATCAGGCCTAGAAAAGGTAGTGGATAGAAGTGCTGAGCCCTTCCAATTTTGAAGACCAGTGTGATGCAATGGAATGAGCATGGGAAACAGTTTAAATTTTGACTCAGTCAAACTTGTGCACGACACTTAACCCTTCTGGACTTTAGTTTCCCCCTTATAAAAAAGCAAAGTTGGTGGAGCTGTCCCAGAGATGAGCTTTGAGCTCTCACCCTCCAGTTCTACACATTCTATTACCTTAGGGAAGTGGGAAACAGAACCCATTCTAGGGCGGAGTTAGCTAAAGAGAGTGTCATAGAAAATATGAATAAATGAAGACTAGGATGGGCATACTTCACATTGCTATCATTGTGAATGTTGAAATATCAAAATTCCCAGATAAAAAGTACAAATTCTTTTTTAATTTTCATTGTGTCAAACATCTGCAGGTTTGAAAATATCAAGAGATACTTTTTAAACATGCATTTAACCTGCTGTGTTCTATAAACCAAGCTATTAAATCTAAAGATCAGTGCTGAATAAAGCTGCTAGTAGGATGGCGATTAATTATAGTTAATGTTTTGACCCCTCGCTTTTTGCCAGGTATTATGCTAAGAGCTTGCTTAAATTATTTTGTATTTTTAATGCTTGCTTTCAACAAGCATTAGTTCATTAATGCTATCCATGTGATATTATTTGTATCCCCATTTTATAGAAAAAAGAATCTTGGACTTAGGCTAAATAACTTGCCCGAAATCACTCAGTAACAGCTGTGAAATTCTACGCCACATCTGTCCAGCTCCAGAGGACAGGCTGTTAACTGTGATATTCAATATTACTGATACTCAATATTGCTGAATTCAAAAATTTACAAAATTATGTACAATTGTTCTTTTTAAAAACAGAACGAAACTTATAATACATTTATCAAACATAATGCTACTTTATGGGGCTTTTATTGGGGCTAGCTAAGGGGCTTTATGGACTCAAAAATTGGAAACTGACTACTCCAATTAGTTGTTCAGAATAAAAGCCAGGCTTGAAAGTCCTTCTTTGCATTGAATTTCAAATGTTCCACTTGGAATGAAACAGATGTTGAACTTTAGATTAGTTCAATCTGCATTAGATTTATCCTGTGCACACAGTAAGATAGCACTAACATGGGCACTTACGCTACTTTCTCTTTAGGGACACCTTTCCCCAGATCAGCTTCATCTGCAATTTAAAAGAGGTATTTTCAAAGAAATAGAGGATTTTACTTGAAAGCGCAAGTATTAATCTAGTGGGTCTGAGCCATGGTCCATCCAATATTCTGTCTCTACTAGGAGCATAAAGAACCATGTCACATGAAACACCAAAGATTAGGGATACACCCTGAGACTTCTTAATATTTTTCTGTCCTCTGTGCATTTAGATTAACCTTTCTTAAAGCCTGTATTTTTGGGGGTTTTTGATTAAAAAATTTCCAAGTATACTAGACCCTTTGAGTAAACAAACATAGGAAACACTTTGGATTTGTGGATTCCAGATGTCATAGTGCAAATATCTATACTGATCTCTAACAGGGTTCAACTTTCTCCTTTTTTCCCATTGAACCTTGTCAAACTTACCCAAGTTCATCATAGATTCAGTTGTCTACTGAACTCCTATTCATTGTTAAAAGGGATATTAGCGAGTGTTAGGTGTTAAAAACATCTAACATCAAACTGAGATTTGCTTCTTGAGATATTCAGAAGAATTAAGTAAGAATTTTATTTTATTTTATTTTATTAATTTTTTTTGAGATAGAGTTTGGTTCTGTCGCCCAGGCTGGAATGCAGTGGCACAATCTCTGCTCACTGCAACCTCTGCCTCCCAGGTTCAAGCAATTCTCCTGCCTCCGCCTCCCTAGTAGCTAGGATTTCAGGCACCTACCACCTAGCCTGGTTAATTTTTGTATTTTTAGTAGAGACGGGGTTTCACCATGTTGACCAGGCTGGTCTCAAGCTCCTGACCCCAGGCGATCCACTCGCCTTGGCCTGAGTAAGAATTTTTTAAAGATTTTCTTTGGAAGTCAGTAGCTGTTAGAAACACTTTATATAGAGCGCAATCTCTCTCCAAATGACTATGCATGGTGTACAGAATAGCAAATGAAACTTGTGTGTCTCCAAATTCCCAAATAAATCATTCTAATTGTCTAAGCACATTAAATCATGTAGGCTACTTGGGAAATCCAAATCACAATTCTTTTTATTTTGTTAGTAAAATACAGAGACTTTTATATCAAAATTAAAAATGAGAACATATCACTATGCCAAATAATGTGGGTACCTTCTCAAACTCTTTTAGTCAAAGTGCAATCAGGAAAGAAAATGTACTGGTTTTCCCTTTATTGGTCTTAAATTTATCGGTTTAAGAGGTCCACCTATTTGTCACCTGTTT